CTCAATGAAGTTTAAGAGAATCCTGAAATACCAAAGGCAACTGGACTTTCTTGTTTTTCTTTGAAGATGTTTTGCTTCTCATCCAAGAAGCTTCTTCAGCTCTGGCTGAATGGTGGGGAATGGAAGGATTTATATCTGTTGCAGACAGCTGGTCATTTGCATTCAAAGAATATAAATCCTTCCATCCCCCACCATCCAATCAGAGCTGAAGAAACTTCTTGGATGAGAAGCAAAACATCTTCAAAGAAAAACAAGAAAGTTGCCTCTTTAAAAAGCACCTTTAAGACAATCATTACCTGGATGACTGAGAATCTCCAAAGACATTTAGAATCCTGAAATGTCGGTATGAAGAGGTATTTGATCATAAGAATAATCAGGTCAGGAACTGGCACTACTCTTTGAACTTACTACAGCATCTTATAATTAGAAAGAGTTTCAAGTAATACACATACACACACACACACACACACACACAAATTGATAAAGGATAAAGAATCTTTGACCTTCCAGACATTGCTGAACTAAAATTCCCAGCAACCTACACAATTAGTCATGCTACTTGGATCTGCTACAGTTAACTTTTAACTCTGTCTCTTCATTCTAGATGTGGTTCTTCAAGTTCTCATAGGGAGTATTTTTGCTAGAACTTGCCAATAATCCCCTTTGGATTCAGAATCTAGGTTAGAAATTAACTAGGAGCATATATATGTAAAACAGATGCCCTCCCCCCCTCTTTTTTTTTTTTACAAATTATTTCATTGATCACCATGCTACAAAAAATCCCCTTCAAAAAAAATAAGTAAAAAACTTTTCAGACAGCAATCCCAAATATGCATTTTCTACTAGCTGGGCATAAGATATCTCAATTATAAATTGCTTGCTCAAACTGGTTTTGCTTCTTAATTCTCTTGAGGCTTTTGACTGCTGTGTGACACATCTTAGTTGGTTGTCAGCAACAGACAGTTCACAGTAGGTGATCAGACATTATAAGGTAATGAGCAGAGGAGGTAATGTGGTCATGGAGAATTCAGGATACTCTAGAAACTAACAAATGTAGCATGTATTACACATATTTTTCAATATGTGAAACTGACATTTTCAGTCTTCTTTCATTTATGTTCTGAATGGTATACATACAGGTCAATAGCTATGCATAAAGAATTTATTAAAAGCAAATAGTTGATAATATTCGTATAACATTGTGATTGAGACTTGGTGGAATCTAGAACAACTGCCTGAACTGCATGTGGCAAAGCAATTGGACTTAGAATTGGGAGGTCATAGAGCTTGAAAGAAATCATGGTCCAAAGGATTGAGATCAGAGGTTGGATTCTTCTGGTTCAGACCGGTTCGGTAGAACCAGTTGTTATGATTCTCCATAGTTTGGAGAACTGGTAAATCGGGCTTCTGGCAGTCCCCACCCCTCTCCGCCTGCTTCTCTGCTCCCTGCCCAGTCAATCCCTATCATACATGTTTATTTTTTATTTATTTATTTTATTTGTCAATTGTTTACAAGATAATAAGTATAAGTGTATACATAATTATGAATACATGATATGGGTACATATAAGAAAAATAAAAGAAAAATAAAAGAAACAATAGGACAGGGACGGTAGGCACGTTGGTGCGCTTATGCACGCCCCCTACAGACCTCTTAGGAAAGGGGTGAGGTCAATAGTAGACAGTCTAAGGTTAAAGTTTTTGGGGTTCGGGGAAGAAACTACAGAGTCGGGTAGAGTATTCCAGACATTGACCACTCTGTTGCTGAAGTCGTATTTCCTGCAATCAAGCTTGGTGCGGTTAACCTTGAGTTTGTATTTGTTGTGTGCTCTTGTGTTGTTATGGTTGAAGCTGAAGTATTCATTGACAGGTAGGACATTGCAATGTATGATTTTATATACCATGCTTAAATCAGACCGAAGACGGCGTAATTCAAGGTTTTCTAGTTCTAGAATTTCAAGTCTGGTGGCATAAGGTATTCTGCAACGTTGCATGAACGCACAACTTGCCTGCAGCCTGCTTTTGCCCGCCTGCCAGGCCAGCCATTGCTGCCTGCCTTTCGCTGTGGCCCTGCCTGTTCTGATGATCTCCCTGGGTGAGTAAGGCTCTGCAAGCCCCAGTCACCTTCCCCCCCCCACCACTTGCCTTTGGTTTTGCCCCTTCCCCCACTTACATTTTTCTGCCACTGACCTTCCCTCCGCCCCCATCACCACTTGCCTTCTGCCAAGGGAACACATGGAGAGGCTCCTGTTGGCTCCATCCAGGTAAGCAGCTGCTTCTCTCACCTGCTGCTCCAGCTGGGAGAGCGAGAGAGCCTCTCCCAGCAGAGTGAAAAGCTTGCAAATCCCCCTCCCATCAGAAACAACTCCCGGGCAGCAGAGAAAATTGAATCCTGCTTCTCTCTGCTGCCCAGGAGCCACTTCCGATGGGAGGGGGGACTCACAAGCTTTTCGCTCTGCCAGGGGAGACACCCTCTTGCTCTCCCAGCAAGAGCAGGTGAATGAAGCAGCCCGGAGCCAATATGAGCCTATCCACTGTTCCTTCCAGCTGGGAGAGTGAGAGAGCCTCTCCTGAGAGCGAAAAGCTTGCAAGTCCCCCTCTCATTGGGAAATGACTCCTGGGCAGCAGAGAGAAACAGGGTTCAAGTGGGCTGCTTCTCTGCTGCCCAGGAGCCATTTCTCCCTGACTGCTCTCCATTCACTCCTGTTGCTCTCCTTCCCCTCCCCCCACTGTTCCCTTTTTGCCTTTTTCTGCCGCCGCTGAATCAAACACTCCACCACCGACACAGTTCTGGGCCGTGCTGCCTCCACTGCTTGCCTTCCCTGTCAGAGCCTCAATGGTAGCCCTCTGTGTGATATCTGGCCATTCTTTTTCTCTAGTTTATTTTGCAAAATCCGTAGGCAACAATAGCAGGATAAATCATCGCTTGTGCCCCTGGAGTTCTTCAATGAAATACAAAATATCAAACAAGTAATAATTACCTACAGTTGCTTTTCAGTCCTGCTATGGACATAAATGCACCAAAGAGGTTTTAGAAAAATAACCAACACAGTACAGTAGAAATCAAAGATAACTATTTTGGTCATTAAAAATTGTCTAAACCCAAACTTAGGAAATATATTTGCTAGATTAGTTCAGCATTATAAAATTGCAAGCTTTTTGATTATCATCCTTCTCCTTTGTTTACTTGTTTGTTTGTATTGTAATCTTTGATTATAGCATCAGCCACAATTGAATCAATGGGACTGCATCCAGCAGAATTAGTCTAGGTAGAGGGATGATTTGTCATCCTAGGAACTAATAATCCAATAATGAGGCATTGATAATTCGTGGTGATATTTTGCTTGTGTTTTTCTCTGACAAAGTCACTTTGATCTTATTAGCATTTTTCAACATTATTTTTAAAAAAGGGAGGAAACACTTCAGATATATTTCAGAAAATAACTATTTCTTATTATTTAAAGAATGCAAGTTGTGTTTGGGAAATTACCAGAGGCATTAACAAAAAGTAATGATCAAAATTTGAAGGCATAAAATGCCAAACCAAATTTTTAAAAGTACTATTTTTATGTAGAAGTGGTAAATCATATTATAGAAGCCAATCAGAATGTGTGATAATTTACAATAGCATATCATCAATATTGTTTTATAATGTTCACTGTTTGGAAATAAGTTTTGTGGTATTGAATATTTATACCCCATTGTTCTACGTTTACACTGCTTGCATAGATAAATAATGAATTAATATTAAATCATTTAAATGTTAAAAGGTGGAACAATAAAAGCAGCTAAATAGAATGCAAACTAGCGTAAGCAATCTTTTGAAAACTTGAATGAAGGAATTTTGTGCCAAAAACAATGCTAGATATCAAGTGTGCCTTTAGGAAGATGATGAATCTCCAATATGCTGTCCTAATCAACATGCCCTTCCTGTCATTCATCTTCATTATACAATGATCTGTTATGAAAAGGTAACAGTGTAAGATTCCGAAAAGGGCAGATAATGAGAAAGGCAAGAAAGTTTTGAAAAAAAAACTTCTATTTTTGCTTTATTGATATATTAAGGCTTTTAACAGTGGTGACTACAATAAATTCTAGATATCCTTTAAAAATAGGGTTTATCATATCACCACAGCTGCTGAAGGAACAGAACAGAAAATTAGATACCATTAGATACTAGACCATATTTAACTTATATGCCGAATATATGACAAAAAATGCTGGAGCCAAGAAGCAAAAACTGGAATGAAAAATAGAGGAAGTCATCAAGAACCTTAAATATACTGATGGTACCAGTTTGATAACTTGGCAATTATGCTAGAGGGCAACCCAATACAAAGAAGAGGAGGAAGAGGATAAGAAAGATAAGGACATATCTGGCACTGTCCTTTTGGGATGTACTTACAAGAGGCAGGATGCAAGCTTGGCACTGATTTTTTTTACTGCCTTTCTTGTGAGATGAGTGAGACCAGCTGGTGTCTTTAAGTGGTGCAAATTGATCTAAGGATTGCTTTTCCTGGGTATGCTCTTTCTGGAGAGCTTAAATGACCTCTCTGCTAAAGGGTTTCACTTTCTGAGCAAGAGTTGGTTGCTGATAGTTATCATTGCTTTTTAACTATTTTAATTCCTCAAGGTGCTCTCCACCCTGCTTGACTTGTAATTCCAACTCACAGGTATTTTTAATCTAATAGTTGGTATTTAGGACAGCTTTTTGCAAGCAAAGAAACTTTTTGTATTCTTGTACAGGTAATCCTTGACTTAAAACAGTTCATTTAGTGACCATTCAAAGTTACAATGGCACTGACTTCTGGTTGCTCGTCATCAGTGTCAGAGCGAAATCCACAATCATGTGTGGGTTTGTTTTGAGCTCACTTGTTGGAGGGTCCCAATTGAGACCGGAATCACCCTAGAGGGGTGGTGAAGCAAGGGGGAATCACTCGGAGGGTTGAGGGAAATCGCAACTCCCCTCCATGACAAGAAAAACCCTTTCTGAAGGCAAGTTGCAGCGGTAGTCTAAAATGGCCACCATGAAGATGAAGAGCAGTCCAGGAAACTAAGATTGTACTGGAGTGGAGAAGCAGCAAGCAGAGTGTGAACCAGACAACATTCAAGGACTTTAAGGTACCCCGGTATTAAGAATAAAAGGACTATTTGGAGGAAAATGTGCAGAAGCGGCGACCAGAGAGAGTGAGAAGGAAATTTGAACTTATAAAATTGGCTTGAGCTATTGGAATGAATTAACTTGGAGGAGAAAACTCAGAAGGAAATATTTGACCACAAAACGCTTGGAAATTAAATTGGATAATTATTGGACTTTTGGCACTAAATAGGCATAAATAAATGCTGGAATTGAATGTGTTGAAAATAAATAATAGCTAATAATTGAAATTAGCAAATTTAATAAACGTTTTATAATTTAAAAAAAGAAAGTAAAGTAAAAGAAAGAGTGGATTGTGGAAAAAGACTCAAGAGTGCCATCCAATGGTACAGGAAAAATGTCAGTGACACTTTGAAAAGTGCTTGGTCTTTCTAATAAATTGGACTTTAGAATTTAAAAGAAAATAAGAGAAACTTCATCATAACAAAATAAAAACCCTGAAAAGTAATACCAAAATATTATATAGGGAAAGATATTTGAAAAGATCGTCTTAGAACCACCCGGTGACTTTGGGAAATAGCTGGAAAAGGATCTACCAGAAGACCTAGAAATAAAGACTTGTGGATATTGATTGTTGAAAATAAATATAAAAGATGCTGGTTCAAAGAACATACTGGATTTGTGGATTGGACATATATATTAAGGAAGAGGGGAAAAACAAAAAAGGGGGGGAAGGAGCAGACACAATGGGGGAATTATTTGCTGAAATAAGATTGGATCTACAAGACCTGAAGGAAATGATGAAAGTGAGACTAGAAATGTGCAGCAATATATTACAGAAATTAGAATTGGCGACTCAGCTTGTAGAAGAACAAAGGAAACCAGAGGGGGAGGAGTCAAATAAAGAGGAAACCAGCTTTGAAGTCCAAGTGGGGCAACAATCATTTAAGCAGATGGAAAAAGGAATTAAAATAAAGTGGTTTGATGTGGAAAAAAAGGGGGGGAAATGGTTCAGAAAATGGAAAAAAGGAAAGGAAAAAAGCAGAAAAGGGAAGTACAAAAGAAAGATCGAGAGAGGGAGGGAGATTAATACATTTGTAATTACATTTATAATTAATGTATAGATGATAAGTATTGTGATTGAGAAAATGTTATGTGGAATCTGATGCAAAATATATGTATACCTGATATGTAGTAAATAGGGAAATACTGTTATTAAGTAGAATGAAGGTGGTAAACTCGAAGTAATAACCAATCTGACAATCTCTAGAATTAATAGCATAAGGACTGATAAAATTGCAAATAGGACAGATAAAGGCAATATGAGATATGAATATAGAAATGAAACAAGAATTTTAAAGAATACTGTAAAATAAGATATCAGAATACTTTAAGAAAAATGATAATATGAACTGTGATGTGATATGAAACTGAATAAGTAAGATCAGGGGTGGGATTCAAATATTTTTTACCACCTGTTCGATGGGTGTGGCTTGGTGGGCACACTTTGTGCACTTGCATGCACTTTGTGTGCATGCATGTGCCAAATGCACACTTTGTGCAGGCAGAGGTGTTTGTGCAGGCGCAGAGGCATTCTAACTCACATCCTGCAAGCCTGCACAATCCCAGTCACTTCAGCAGCTGCCACGCAGCCACGCAGCACTCTTCTGTGCCATGCAAAGCAGCTGTGCTTCAGGGAATAGAAGGGGAACTTACCAAATTTGCAGATGATACCAAGCTAACACCCAAGAAGATAGGCTCAAGATCCAGATGGATCTTGACAGACTAGAACACTGGGCCATATCTAATAAAATGAAATTCAATATAGAGAAAAGTAAAGTCCTACACTTAGGCAAGAAAAACCAAAAGTACACATATAGACTGAGTGAAACCAGGCTCAATAGCAGTAACTATGAGAGGGATCTTGGAGTCTTAGTGGACAACCAGCTGAATATGAGCCAGCAGTGTGCAGCAGCAGCCAAAAAAGCTAATGCAATCCTAAATTGTATTAACAGAGGGATACAGTCAAGATCAAGGGAAGTACTAATACCACTCTATAAAGCCTTAGTAAGACCACACCTAGAGTACTGCATCCATTTTTGGTCACCACATTATAAAAAAGATGTTGAGACTCTAGAAAAAGTACAGAGAAGAGCAACCAGGATGATTAGGGGACTTGAGGCTAAAACATACAGCAAACGGTTGCAGGAACTGGGCTTGGCTAGTCTAGTAAAGAGAAGGACTAGGGGTCACATGATAGCAGTCTTCCAATATTTGAAGGGCTGTCACAGGGAGGAAGGGGTCAAACTATTTTCTAAAGCTCCTGTAGGCCAGACAAGGAATAATGGATGGAAACTGAACAAGGAGAGATTTAACCTGGAAATAAGAAGAAACTTTCTGACAGTGAGAACAACCAACCAATGGAACAGCTTGCCCTCAGAAATTGTGAGAGCACCATCAGTTGAGACTTTCAAGAAGAGATTGGACTGCCATTTGTCAGAAATGGTGTAGGGTCTCCCGCTTGGGGGATGACCTACAAGGTCCCTTCCAACTCTGATTATCTGTATTATCTGTAAATTCAGCGGATAAAGGTTAATATGGGAGCCCGGATGGGTGGGTGGGCCCAACAGCAGAGCAGCGGAGAGAACTGGTTCAGTCTCTTCTGCTCATCTCTGCTACTGGCTCTAACCGGTAGAATACCACCACTGGGTAAGATGAATAGGTTACTGTGATCACGTTTGTGTTGAGATGTGACAAACTACTGATAACTACTGGAACCAAAACTACTTGCCAAAAGAGAACTTTTATTTTAAAAAATGAAAAATAGGAGAGGAAATTGAATAATGAAATTACTAGGTATGTTTCTATGATATTGTGATTGGCACTAGGAGAGATTATGGAAATGTTGAAAAATTAAGCAATGAAAGATTATAATTTAATGAGAATATGTGTATTAAGAGATATATAGTTAGTTTTATTAATTTTGCTTGTACTAAAATGTATGATGTATTGGTGCCGCATTGTCTATGTATTGATGTGTATGTGTAGATTGAAATAAAAAACACTTGAAAAAAAAGTTATAGTGGCACTGAAAAAAGTGACTTATGACTGTTTTTCACACTTATGATGGTTGCAGCATCCCCACAGTCATGAGAGGCCAGGCGAGGAGATGTGTGCCTCAATGTGGGTGATGTCGAGTTGACCAGGTCCAGCCAGTCACACGACAGCCATGCCCATCCAGTCACATGACCACCAAGCAAAGGGACACAGTTCTCTGCTACCATCAATTGCATTTTGGCTTTGGATGCTTCATCTGATTGTTCTAAGTTCTCACCTGAAAACTCAAAGTTTGAATTCAAATTGTCATATTTTGAATATGTTATACAAAATCTTAGCTGCCTTCAGAAGTCTATAATGCTGGGAAAGATGGAAGGAAAGAGAAAAACGATTGACAGCAAGGTGGATGGACTCAATTATTGTGGTAATGGGTATATTTAAAGGAGAGTTTGGAGATAGAACATCCTGGAGAATACCTATTCAGGTGATCACTATAAGATAATACTGATCTGAAGGCATGTAATCAATCAATTGGTCAATCAATCAGATCTGGTAAGCCTTGCATAAAAAGCAATCTTAAAATGATGAATATATTAACTACAAAAGAGGTGTATCTTCATTTCGTTTCATATCTGGGTTACTTCAACAAGCTAGGGTTTTGTAAAGCCTATCCAAAGCCACTCCTTGAATTATTCCAGAAGAACGTAACTCAGAGATGTAATATACACATTGCATTCAAAAGTCAGTCTCTTGATGCCAAACGTATTCCATTCCTATTACCTTGGTAAAATGGTATCAATGTGGGAAACCTTTCCATTGCTATGCACAATATAAATTCCACGGAACTGCCAAGATCACAACAAAGCTGAGACTAGCAACTGCCACAAAGGATGTTAAGGAAGGCAAAATACCTAATTAGAATTGCTGAGTTCAACCTATTAAAAGGATCCTGTGTAGAAAGGCAGACATCATCCAGGAAATATGACTCAAGTATATATTTAAACAAAACTTACAAGTCTGAATGAACTTCCCACTCTCCCTTTTATCTTGTGTAAACTAGGGAGGGACTTGTCTGATATGTTTACTCATGTTACTTTCTTGGTTCAGAACTCCACCCCATTTTTTGACTGTTTCCTTGGTAGCAGATCTTCCCCCAATCCTTCAAGGCTATTCCCTTTTTACTCTACAGCAGGAGGCCAATATCTTTCTTTGTTGCTGCCTAGCAGTTGGTATTTCAAATATGCTGCTTGTAGTTTAAAGAGATACTAAAAATCCATTAAGACCTGTAGCCGATGAGGGTCCCATCCTTCATGAATTCCTTTAGTTCACATTTATAGACATCATAAATCTTGTGGCAGTAAATTCCAAAGTTTAACTGTGTGTTATATAACGAGGTGCATGTTTTTATCTTCCTGAATGATCCCACATTTATTTCAATAGAAAATAATCATAACATTGTGAGAAAAAGAGGAAATCTTTCGTATCATATAGAATTGAAGTTAATCTGTCGTGTCTCCCTTAGTAGGTTCATCATATATAGATGTGTGTCTGTGTCTGTGTGTGTGTCTGTACTGGTATGCATACGTGTAAGTATATGTATATGTGTGTGTATGAGATATGAATTTTTGTGAAATCAAAATAGCTACATACTTGAGAAAATACAAAATGTACAAAGAAAATTCTCTTCTCTCTATGCTACCTAATAAAAGAACAGAAATAGTTTGTGGGGAAGGTCAGGAATAATCCTGTGATTCTTCAAGTTTGGGACTGGCACTGAAAATGCTCTATATTATTTCCAGTGTAAAAAAAAGGTATTGATAATTTGTTACACAATCTGGCAAAAATTGGAGAGTTAAGGTTAAGTGCTCAGTAGTGCCCCACGAGTGTTCACTTCTCTGCACTTTGGCTCTATAGTAAAATTCATGGCTTCAAAGGGTAAATATTGAAATATTTAAGACACTACTGTAAGGGAATATGCAATTGTGGGGACAAAGGTCATGAAGCAATACTCGAATACATCTTCAAATAGCAAGGGGGATGCATACGCTTAACCCGTTTCTGTGGATCAGTACTCTTGCTGATATCATGTCCTAGTATTTCTCAATCTTAGCAACTTTAAGATGTGTGGACTTCAACTCCCAGAGTTCCCGAGCCACCATACCACTAAGGTTGAGAAACACTGATCTACTATATGAGTAGCAAGACATCCTTCTGGGGATGCTTAATATCTTTTCCTTCAGAATATGCCTTAGGCAATATCTTCTTTTTCCACTCTCCTACAGAATAACATTCACTCCAAGATATTTTTCCC